ATTTACAAAAGGGGCTTGTTAAAGCTTTGAAGAATTTTGTGAGAAGGGACAAAGAAAAAATTAAAAGAAATCAAGTTCTAGAACATTATTTGAGTGAACTAATAATCAAGACTGTTAAAAGTAAAAAAAAAGAATATAAAGTTGGTTTATTTGATCAAGGTTAAAATAGTTATGTTGTTCATAATCCTTAATGGACTTTTGCTGACATCAGGACTGAAATGACGAGGTTTTATGGATTTATTGATAAGAGATGGGATAAGGGAAGAAGAGATCATTTGTTGTATTGTAAGAGGAGGTGATAAGTTACTAAAATTGTTTATATGATGAAGAGAGAAGTCACTTCTTTATATATTTATTTTCTTTTTATTTACTATATTCTTATTTTTTCTTTTTTTTCTTTTTCTTTCTATTTTTCTTTTCTGCACCTTCTATTTTTCTTTTATTTTTTTTAGTTTGTATTAGTTTTTATTGTTGTAAATTGTAATCTTTAATAAAATTACAGGTAGTCCTCGACTTACGACCACAAGTGGGACCAGAATTTCTATTGCTAAGTGATGCAGTCATAAAGCATGATGTTACGTGACCACATCGCTTAGCGATGGTAATCCCAACACTCCCCGCTGCCGTCATTAACTGAATTCCACCAGTCATTAGCTGAGGACCCACTCCAATCCAAGCCTTCAGGGCTTGGTCCCTCCCAGCCCTGGGCCTTGGTTCTCCTAAGGTAAGGAACTGTCTCCCCTTCAACTCCCCCCCTGCCTATTTCACCCCATCTCTGTCCTTTTGGCGACCCTGCACCCTGCCTTGTGCGATGGCAAGCAGCCCCAGAACCACACAGCTCTGAGGCTGCAAGAAGCCCCTGAGCTGCAGCACAATGCAAAGCCCTTCATGGCGTGAGGCCCAGCCCCGGCCCATCTTGGCAGTGTGGCACAAAGGGACTTCTTGGTGTGCCATGACTCTAGGGCTGCAAAAAACCCCTGAGCCACAGCACAGCGCAAAGCCCTTCACAGCGCAAAGCCCAGACCCAGCCCAGTCCAACAGCACAGTGCAGCACAAAGCTACAGCCATCCCGAGAAGCTGCAGCCGCCCCAGCCCAGTCCCTTCACGAGGCAGCTGCTGGCCACGAGGCCATCTTTCCCAGGTCTCATGAGGAAACCACTATGCACAACCTGGGAAAGAAAGCCTCATGCAGTCAGCAGCTGCCTCGCGAAGGGTCAGGCCAGGCATGCTTGGTCAGCAATGGGAGCAAGAAGATGGTGAAGGTCAGCTAGGGCGGCAGGGCCGCAGAGTGCAGGAAGCCAAAAGGGCATGGGAGGAGATGGGGGGTAGGGGGAGTTGAAGAGCCCCTGCAGTCATAAGTGCAGGCGGGCTACCAAGCACCCAAATTTTGTTCACATGATTGCGGGGGCGCTGCAATGGCCATAACTTTGGGAATTGGTCATAAGCCCCTTCATGCAGTGCCACTGTAACTTCAAACGGTTCTGAACAAAAGATCATAAGTCAAGGACTACCTGTACTACAAAAAAGACAAAATTAAGAGATCCTAGGTTCCTAGAGTTCCACAGCTTATAGTTTCATTTGTAACAAAAATTAAAAACATTTTTATGTACATTCAATTAGCAAATGTAATTGTTTAACTAAATTACATGTTTAAATTTAATAAACATATCAAACATATGAGTATGAGTAAACCAAATTATACATATTGCAATATATGTTTCTTAATTGAACAGATGAGTAAACAAAGTATAAAAATGAATACATTTTTCCAAAATTTCCATTTTTTTCTGAAAAGATAATGGGAAAATGTGTGGTTTTGTGATTTCAAATGTCCAGAAAACTCTTTTTTAGAGTTTAAAACAACTGTTTCAAGCATGAAACAGCTGCTTCACATTTCAAAAGAGCTATTTCAATATTTTTTACAAATGTTTCAAGACTGACTGCAACAGCAGTTTTAAATTCAAAAAAAGTGTTGCACTCAAAACAGCTGTTTCAAACTTGAAATAGCATTTTACTTCAAAATGGTTTAAATTCAAAACTTTTGCATTCGACTACTTGCTAGAGAGAAAAGAGGGAGGGAGGGAGGATTATCGAGTTAGAAATTTAGAAAGAAGGTACATAATGAGGTTCAAGACAGGAATAATGGGGTGCAGAGAGAACAATGAGATAGGAAAAATTAGAGATGAGCATACTGGAAGATATGTCAATGGGAAAACAGAAATAGAGTAACAGAGAGAGCAAGGATGGGAATTACACAAAAAAAGCATATATTACATCCTGAAGTGGCTGAAGGAAAGAGGATTAACATGAAGAGAGGTTGAAAGTGCCTTGTGATGACAAAGAGCTTGGCAGAGGATAAAGGCAGAAAAACAGAAAACATATGTTAAAAGGAACTCATAGAATTAAAACCGAAAGAAAAGTAATTTAATGCAATTAATAATGTAAATTAGAAACAATTTGAAAGTAGCTCTCAGACTGAAGTATTCCTATTTATACCTGTATACATCATTTATATTTTATTTTCTAAAAGTCAAGAAACCGCATACTTTGCCGAGAAATATTGTCTCCCACACTAGTGTTGTCCTCAGATATATTGTCGCTCACATCACTAATGTAAGATTCATCATCAGAAGCCTAATGAAGAAAATGAATAACAATACTTATTATTACTACTATTATACCAAAGAAACATAAATGCTATTGTCATAAATTCAAATCCCTTATAAACTTTGTTTTTTTTCCTCAGCTGTATCCCGTTTGCCTGCAAAAATTCTGCCCATTCAATAAAACATTGATAGGCCCAGCATATTTGTGGTGAACCCCCCTCCTAGCAGAACAACAATGCAGCTTTGAGAAGCCCTGGCCATTATTATTAACCATTTTAGCTGGTACATAAATTATTAACTTCTCTCTGCTACCTCCACACTGAAACTATACAAGTGGTGTCAACTGTTAAAGATAATTGTCTTATTAAATACAGATGACTCAAGCAAGTACTTCTTACCATCTGATATGAGTGGGAATGTGAAATACAGGTAGTCCCCAGGTTAAGAATGCCGGGTTTACAGACGACCCATAGTTAAAAACGGAGTCTACTATAGCAAAATTTGAGTTAAACACACAATGATTTGAGTTAATAAATACCCAATGGTTTGAGTCAATTACACAATACTACTTACACAGTATTATACAATAAAACTGTTCCGGCTTACATACAAATTCGACTTAAGGACAGACCTTGGGAACGGAACTCGTTCTTAAACTAGGGACTACCTATATCATAAGAACTTGAGTGTGAAAATAAAATTTATTAGTCAGAGCTTCCCAAAATATTATTACTTAATAAAAAGACAAAATGGGTCTGCCAAGGATTGGCAGAAAAATTAACATTTGTATTCTGTTTTTGCTTTAAGGAATTCTGGAATGTAAACATAAACTATCCCTCTCCTGCCATTCACAACAGCTTTATAATGTAATTTGTCAAACAAATTCACATGGTGTATTATATGAACTCAACCAATCATCATTTAACAAACTATGATAAGACAACCCACGTGTTGAATATGTCCATGAATTTTATACCACAGTAAAGTTTTGAATACAAGGTAAGAGGAAAATATCTGTATTGGATAATGCTTGACCTGGGCTGACAGGTATGACTGCTGCTACTATGCCTAGAGACCACTGTGTAGGTCAGTGTTGTCCAAACTTGGCCACTTTAAGATGAGTGGACTTCAACTCCCAGACCCCGAACCCTAACCCATGGCTGGCTGGGGAATTCTGGGAGTT